GATATACATACTGCTTCAGGTGTATCTAAAACGAAATGTTTATTAAAGATAAACTTTGCAACTTGTTCACGATATTGACAATAGGGTATGGTTCGGTGGCAAACGACTTTAAATGCTGAAACTTTCGAAGATGCAAAAATTGGAGCCCGTGATAACCATGTTCTATTTGTTTATATTCCCTTATGAACATACCAAAGAGCATATACATACATACATACATACATACTTGATAAATACCCAAACAACCAGTTAATTAGGCTCAATGATTCACGAAATTGACAAATTCACTGTCTGATTTTAAATGTCCAGCAATGGACACCAGGTTCACAGACTGACACACCGCTTCCATATTGAACAACACAGCAAGTATACTTGATGGCACACTTAGTATACAAAACGAGTACGCACTGGTTAAGGTGCATTTCTTTAAACTACTTATTATTATGGTTATTAATAAATATTGATCAGTTTCATAAACTAGTGAATACTTACTCATCTCGATAAGCATGCGGCCAAAACCACGACATTGGTAAGGTGGTAATATGAGAATACATGAAAGATTATTGTATACAGTGTTGGTTGAATTATCACACTGGTCATCAGCTTTTTGCTGAAGAAGAAAAGATAATGACAAACTACAGTTTAACTAAGACGATGAATGCTCAACAGTAATTGTGTAAGCAAAAAGGAGAAAATGCACTGAGAAAAAACAAACCAAGGCTACCATATAATTCAAATAACGCCTACAGTTTTCATATAACTCAGATGCAAGGACACAAAACGATTCGATATTGAATACATGAAAAATGATCAGGTATTGATAACTTGCTTCATAGAAAAGGTAAGTCGATTGACGAGGCTGCGAACCTCAGTCGACTGAGATGGTTTTGACATGTATTGTGCATGCCAAGTTACAGCCTACCTCGATGTGACATGCCAGAGGAAGCTGGATTAAGTTGGAAGGAAGTTTAGGGTGGACAGACCAAGACATGGCACCAGTCAACGAAGTTACTGACTGTTGGCTTGAGATGTGTGGGGAGAGGTGGACTGATTGGGTATTCCGAGACAAAAGGATCAGTGGTTGAGGACTTTTGGTGAAATGTTAGTTGGCTAGAGGCAATTAGTTGCTCTCCCGTGACCAATCAATGCATTCTTGGTGAAATGATTGGAAATCAGTCACAATGGTGCAGACGTATTCACTCCTTCACATCTTTAAAGCTTGAATATTCGCATTAACCTTCAATTCGTTGATTCTCTCACAGTACTTTGTCTACTTTGATATCACTCTTTTTCTATCCACCTGTTGTTTGTGTACTACTGTGAAGTGTGGCAACTTGAGCTGATGCACCTGTGTGGGAGGTTCTACATTGATTTTGTCAGTTAGTCAGTAACAGAAAAGTATCAAAATCTGAACTAAGCTCTAATTATTCACTCCATCCAAGCGTACAAACTACTTTGGATAAGATTATCATAGTAGTTTTAAAAGTTGTTTAAAAACATAAAATGTGCTTGGGCTGTATTGTTACTTAGATTAAAACCTAATATGGAAAATGCTATTGCAGAAGGTCTGGAAGGAAGGGAAGGTACCTACCGAGTGATTGGAAGAAGGGCTATCTTGTCAAACTCCCGAAGGAGGGAGACCTAAGCCTTTGCAAAATCAGCGAGGAATCATGCTCCTGTTCACACCAAGCAAGCAAAATATTATGCCGCATCGTCCTGGAGAGACTAAAGGATGCGCTGGATTCAAAATTACGACCAAAACGGGCTGGCTGGCTTCAGGAAGAACAAATCATGTGTGGATCAAATTGCAACGCTACGCATCACCATAGAACAGAGTATAGAATGGCAGTCAACTAAATCTTTACCTCCACTTCATCGACTTTGAAATGGTTTTCGACAGCGTCGACTGAGAAGTAATTTGGAAACTATTTCAACACTACGGTTCCAGTGCCACAAACCTTTATCAATCTCATTCAACAACTATATGAGGACGCCACATGCCGGCCAAGTAATTCACAATGGGAAGCTCAGTGATGCCTATGAAGTGAAGACAGGAGTAAAACAAGGCTGTCTACTATCACCCATGATCTTCCTGATTGTGGTCGACTGGATCATGCAGCAAACTGTGAGGAGTGAGAAAATGGGCATACGCTGGCTGGACCGATAAAAAGCCTAGAAGATTTGGATTTCGCCGCCGTTGATGATTTATGTCTAATGTCGCACAAACTCGAAGATCTACAGGCGCAAACTAAGAAGTTGACAGAAGAAGCAGCGAAAACGGGACTTCAAGTAAATGTAAGGAAGATGGAGGGGATGAAGATACACAACCAACAACAGTATCAACAACAAGCACCAATCATCATGAACGGGAGAAACTTAAAGGAAGTAGTCTTTCACCTACCTGCCCAGGCAGCATCGTTTCAATTACAGGTGGCACAGACGAGGATGTCAAAGCCAGAATTGGAAAAGCAAGACAGGCTTTCATTAGTCTGAAACCAGTGTGGAGATCTTCTGCATTCAGCACAAAGCGTGAACAAGATCCAGATTTTTAACACCAATGTCAAGTCAGTGCTGCTATATAGTTCAAAAACTTGGCGCGTCACGAAAAGAACTTCCAACAAACTACAGACATCAATCACAGTTACCTACACTGGCTCGGTAGTGAAGATCAGATGGCCAGAAAAATAAGCAACAAGGAACTCTGGGAACGAACCAACCAAGAACCTATCACCCAACAAATATGCAGAAGAAAGTGGAGATGAATTGGACGCGACATACACTGAGAAGACCATTCGGGGACACCACGCGCCAGGCCAGTCCCTCGAGTGGAATTCCAACGGGAAACGATGATTTGGGCATCCCAGCTGAGGGTGACAAGGAGGAGATTATGTGAGGAAGAAATGAAAGCTTATGGGCTTTCGTGGAGCCAGGTTGAAAAGACTGCAGAGAACAGAGTGTAATGGAGGCGTGCTACTGAAGCTCTATGTTCTACTAGAAACCCAAGGGAAAAATAATAATAAAATGAAAAAGGAATTTTTTGAAATCCAGACTTAATGTTCCAAGTCCTTTTTGGTATCTGACAACTACCTATTCCACATGGCAATATACCCCGACAAAAAAAGAAACACAATTTTAGTCAACACAATAATCTTAGTAAATGAGAAAAGTAAAACACCCTGATAAAAGGAAACAATAACATTGAAAAATTTATGCCGAGTGAATAAATAATATACTTGTAATCAAGGCAAATGTTTGCAAACTCTTCAGCCTAAAGGAAGAAAAAACAACTCGGTGAAACCACTATGGTTTCTGTGGGAATCAAATGAAGCTTTGCTTGACAGGAAGAAGCCGTGGCTCATTGGTTTACAGCGATGACTCTGAGCCACTGAGTTAGAGGTTCGAGCCCCGCTCCACCCATTGAGGTTTAGGCATGTGTGGTTTATTGCCTGCTGCGTGAATGTGCACAAGGTTGTGGAGTTGATTCCAAAAAATTCTCACTTCCGATACAATAAATGAGATCAACAAAGCGAAAGCATCTCTGTATCTGTAAGAATTATGGTGCAGTACAAAAAGTATTTCCACTAAGAGATTTTTTTTAAAGTACTAAGGTTAATTGCTTACCTTTGAGAAATAGCCAATAATATGTGAACCATCTTGGTCTGTTTCTGTCAGTAGGTAAAATAAAAACGCTGGAACTTGGTCTAAATCATGCACTGTTTTTTGTTTCAAAAATAATTTAGCCAGTAAACACAAATTACGACAATATTCCTAAAAAACGACAAATAAAAGATAATCATAAACTCCTGCGCACTAACTGCTTCAGAAAAAAAAACAAACAACAGATCAATATACATATAAACTGAAAAAATATGAACTATAGACAGTATGATGAAGTAAATAATTACACGGCAAATTATCTCCGTAAACACCCAAGAAGAATATGCCATCTTCTTGAGGAGACGCACTGAAAAGGATACGCAGAATGAAGTCAAAAGTTCTGTCAATGAGAACTTCAGAGAGGAAAAGCAGAAATACCAACAAAACAACTACAACCTAAGTTGTGAACAAGTACCGTCGTACCAAAAACACGACTTCAATAAGATATGACCGGATAATACTGGATTGTGGATTTCTCCTAACTGTTGGGTTGTGAATTCGAAAACAGCCGATATACGCTAAAAACGATTTTATAAACAAGAACGTATGCTGATCACGGCAACAATGTTCCCACACACTACTGAAAGACACAGAAGACAAGACTAGGACGACAAGATTTATTCCTCCGCAAAAGGTGGGACTAGTAAATCACTAACTGCCGAATTATGCAAGAAAGTTTCCTCTAACACCTGCTAGTAAACGACTAATAAAGAGTCCATAGTTATCCGACTGCTCATCGGAGCTAGAGAACAGCAAACTCGGGAAAACCAGGTAAGTTTCAAACATGGACGAGGGTGCATCGATCATATTTTTACCCTACGATGAGTTCTGGAATACAATCATACCTACCGGCACTAAACTTGACATAAAGGCAACACTTGACTCAGTCAACCATTAGGTATTGTGGTAGTGTCTGACTATGAAGGGCTTATGGAGAGTTGTGATTATTTTACTATCCATTTCAACATTTTTATATCAAGGTGGTTGATGAGTTTATTCTGGTATGTATTGAGTTACCACCAGCCAACTGACCTTTCTGGAATGGCATTCCACTTGGTCATTGTGATATACAAGTCCAATCCCCACGTCAATATACTAGTTATCACTTGAGAGTATTGTGTTCGGAAACCTGTCTGATTTTTTGAGTTTTTTGTTCTTGAATTTCATTCAAGTGCCGAATAACTGATAGCTACAGTAATAAAACGCATGTTAAACTCACCCGATGTTTTTGTCCATCGATTTCAAAAATGATAAATTTTCTTTCCTGTACACTTCATTACCTGGAGGAAACATTCGACCACAATTCATCTGTAAAGTAGATTTAAAACAAACATCTTCAAAGGAGTAATGAAGAATGAGAAGCAGATATTACAGAAGATTTTCTACATGGCGATAACAAAATGTACTTTATTATCTCACGTAATCATAACCACAAATGAGAAAAAATAAACAGATACAACCGTTCAACGTTCGTTCAGAATAACGTGTATCAACAGACTGTAAACCGAACCTACTCTACAACGGTTACGGAGAGAGAAGTTTATTCAGAATGAATAACGTTGAAAACCCACTGAGTTGATCGATCTATATGTTTATTATACATAAATCATCCAACTCAATAGCCTATTAAATTTATAAAACTAGGCTATGAACTCCACTTTATGTGCGACAGTTCGCAAAATCCGGTTGTCGAGATCGAAGATGAGATGCATTCAACCTTTCACTTGTCTGAACGTACTTCAGCAAAAACTCTATGATGGGTAGATTGTGACAAGACATTTCTAATACGCCCAACCAAAGCAATCAATGAAGGTTTAAGACCTTATCAAATGACTTCCCTATTAATGATGTGGTGGTTCCAGGACGATACATGATGGCAATGGAGGTTAAATACAGAGTGGACTGCAGAACAGCACACTTGACCCTTGAAAGGCAATCGGATATCGTAGCAGCGCCACAGCTGGTATGACTTTGCGAAAGCTAACCAAGCCTTTTGCATTCGTGTAGTAATTTCGTCAGCCACTGATCCACCAGGGTTGATCCAACTTCTCAAGTAAACAGAGTGTTTAATGCACCCAACCACTTCACTCTCTATTGTTAGCCTGGCTACTGATGAAGACCAGTCTTAAAGCAGTAATTTGCATTTGTGTGGCGAGAAACGTATCCAAAACATTCTTGAAAACAATATTGTTCGCTTATATGTCTTGTTCTAATTTACATGATAGGAATTTTTAAAATTCTTGAATTGCCAATGAAGGTATCTATAAGACACCACATCTCCGCATCTTCCCCTAACAAGACTGTGTCATTTGCGTACCCTAAATTAACTAAGGAATCTCGTGTGGCAAGATCAATCCCTGTGGATTCAAATGACGAGAAGAAGACCTCCATATGTACTTCTATAGAAAGGTTGGATAAGAATGGAGTAGGTGGGCATCCTTGAGTGACACCACTCGATCGACACAACTCACCTGACAACTCAACATAAGCTATAAACACATCCAAGAATATTCGAGCACACAACCTTCAACAGAATGGTGTACTTTCATGGTACCTGTTCCAGTGACAGACATTTCCATAAAACGCCTCAATCGACGGGATGCAATGCCGCCTTCCGGTAGATAAATACGGCTAGTATTGAACCTCAGTAAGTGTCCGTATAACAAAACTGAAAAGAGGATGAATATTCGATAGATATAAACACATACACGAACAACAAGGTCTAAAACCTATCTGATTTTCTCTGGTTTGACGTACCTGAGCTTTACTTAGTCGCTCATTGATTTCAGACAAGGGTGGTCTGACTAATTCCTCTGTGGTTAACACAAGACTAGGACGATCAATGATTAAGAAAAATCAGAGGCGATCATATCTGGTTCCTTTACGCTAGCTAACTGTTATGTCCCTGATCTGACTCCATGACCATTAGTTACCAGTCTTAAACTCGTTTTAGGTTTCCTTAGGGAGAATTCCGAACTCTTGACCCATCTATTATTATTGCGCCGAGTTATGTTCAAATTGATCCTAATACCATTAATGTCACACCCGCTGACAGCTAACCCACTACAATGCAAAATAATACTATATTTAGCAAAATATATGGAAATTCTCCAAGGGCAGATAAACGTAACCGGCCTAATTGGCATTTCAAAGGATGAAAACGAAACGCAGAAACATTAAGGACACTCGTTACTCATTGGCTATCCCTCTCATTCTTTCTGCAAACGCACATAACACTAACATTACAGTTCATTCAATCAATAATCCACAACCGTCATAATGTTCGAAGCTAGTAAGGATGCTCCAAAGTGCATCAATTAATTCAAACGAACCTTCTAAGATCCCTGGCACTTTACAACTTTTCTCTAAAGGTCAGTTACGGGCGTCAATGCAGTTTTTGCAGCATAAAAGTGACATCAGATTCACTCTAGATGAGTTACGTTATTCTGTTCCAATAGCTGTCGAAATCCTCGCTTGTTAAAAGCAGCATTGTTATTTACATCACTGAATTATGTTTGGATCAATCTGCCGAGCATAGGTTTTCTAAGTTCACTTAGATAGAAAAATACGTGATTGAATCATGGCATGAATACTGTCCAAACACATAGGGCTTCACAAAGATCAAAACCTATTTCCAGCCCATACCAACTCCCAGCACAACTGAAGTTGAGTTAGTCCACTGTATTCCCATTACTTATCTGTGTGGCACTAGGCTGGAAGGTTCAAATGGAGTGATACTTGACTGGCAAGTAAGAAGATGTCTCTTCGTCGTCTCTCCTTATGCCTGGACTGACTACAGCCCGGATGCAATGAGAACGAATCCTGACTGACTGACTGACTGACTGACTGACTGACTGACTGACTGACTGACTGACTGACTGACTGACTGACTGACTGACTGACTGACTGACTGACTGACTGACTGACTGACTGACTGACTGACTGACTGACTGAGAAAGTCAACGTAAAACCTAGCACAGAAGTGCACTGGCTCAAGTTACCACGTTTCACAGTGTTATACGGAGATCAGGTGGATAGAAAAAGAGAGAAGTCAAAGTAAACAAAGTGGTGTGAGAGAATCACCAATTTAAAGATTACGGTTAGTGCAAATATTCAAACTTTAGAAGATGTCAAGGAGTGACTGCATCTGGACCATTGTGACCAATTTCTAACCATGTCACCAAGAGTTCTCAATCATTGATTCCCATTGTCTAAGAGACCCCAACCAAGCAGTCTACATCTCCCCACACGACTCAGACCAACAGTCAGTAACTTTATTGACTGGTGCCATGTCTTGGTCTGTCCACCCTGAACCTTCTTCCAACCTAATCCAGCTTTCTCTGGCACGTCACATCGAGGTAGGCTGTAACTTGGCATGCACAATACATGTCCAAGTCATCTCAGTGGATGAAGCTTCACTACCTCACCAGTCGACTTGCTTACCTTGCCTGGTAGCCTTTACGTGACTTCAACATTGCTCACACGGTGAATCCATCGAACCCAAGCAATGATACGAAGACACCTATGAACAAAATCTTGTAACTGTATCACATCCACTTTCAACGGATGTCTCACAGTCGCATAACAGAACAGATCGGACTGCAGTCCAGTATGCGCATCATTTGATAGATAGTCACGTATATGGCACCGCAAATGACACACATAGGCAAATGTCAAACGGGCCTTCTGTATGTGAGCTGAGATTTCATCAGCAATCATTTCGAGCTGATGTATGTGAAATAGTAGACACATCAACAAAACCTCACTGCCTATCATTAAACTAGGAGTACTTGCAACAGACCAATCCTGCAGCATCATGCTACATTTGACAGATGCCAGCGAAACGCATGCTAAACATACTTATGTTCATGCTGAAAGTGTTCAGAAGACGCTGGCAGTGAGTCAGTGTCGTCTGCATACTCCAAGCCAACCAGATGACCTCCAGGGAGTAGACCAATCCATATGAAGTCAGAGGTATGTCCATTAGTAAGTCTCTGACGAAGTTAAATAGGAACGGCAACAGTGAACATCCCTGGCGGACACCACTAGTTGTCGTCAATTCTGATGACAACCCTCCATAAGTCCTTAACACGGCTGCGTGAGTTCTAGTAGAGAGCTTTTCTCGGTACTCTCTTCGCAGTCAGACACTGCCACAACACCTCACGGTCAACAGAGTCAAATTTCGCCTTCAGGTTAACAAATATGGCAAGTGTCGGTCGCCAGTAGGTATGCCTGTGTTCCAAGACCTGTTGGAGCATGAAAATATCGTCGGCGCACCCTCATCCTGTCTGGTTCTCCGGAGTTTCCTGTTTTCGAGCTACAGAGAGGCATCAGATAACTATGAATCCTAGGATCTTGGACAAAATATTAGTAAAACTAGTTGACCTATGGTTGTCACAAAAAGATCTCTGCCTCTACCCATAGACTGGGATGATCAGAGAAGTACACCAATCTAACGCCACTACCTCTGGTTTCAGTACACTACCTAGTACCTCTGTGAATTTAATTAGCAATTTCCTACCCGCATCCTTGAAGATGTTGGACGGCAAACTGCCAGGTCCTACTGTTCTGTATCGTTTCGGGTTGGATACAGTCTTCTCAACTTCAAGAAGATTTGGAGGACCGGTGTCTACGTTGCATTCAGGTCCAGGCAGGTTGGATGTTGGGTAACTTAAGCATTGCTGTGGAGCAGTTAAACCGTGCTTCAAAATGTTCTGCCAAACATTCTAGCCACCTGTCCTCAGAGGTTATCAATGTTCCATCCTTTTCAGTGATGGTTTCGTTCACCATCCCTATCTTCTTGCCAGTATCCTCAATAACCCTAAATAGTTGCCGAATGTTACCCAACGGTGATGCCTGCTCCATCTCTCGCTTTCGTCATCCACCACTGCTCGTGATCAACTGAAAGACTCTTAGTTAACTTACTTTAAAGTTGCTTTCTCTTTTCATCGTGGTTGGAGCCAGCTGGAATCAATCTTCTTGCATCAATGAGTTCAGATTAGATCGCGGAAATCCAATGACGTTTCATAACCTTCGGATGCAGATTATCAATTGTTTTTACCTTTGTTTCTACAGCAGACTTAATATCACGCCAGATTTCCTCAGGATGAGCACTGGTGTCGTGTTCAAATAAATGCTTGGCTAACTCTTCCCTAAATACGTATTCGGCATCCTCATGTTGTAATCTAGTATAAACAGGCTTTACTATTTTGTGTTTCCTGCGACCAGTAAGGTGCAGACATACACAAACCCGTGATAACGCGCAATCCGAGTCCAAACAGGTACTCTAGAAAAAGGGGCAATCATCTTCCGATCCTTTCCAACGGTGTCTTATAGCAATGTGATCCTATTCATGTTTATCGTTGGTTTGAAGTCGGTGGATGCAAAGTGAGTGTCTCTCTCCTTATGCTTGAACCTAGTGTTGGACAGAAACAAGTGACTGTCGAGCAAAATTGCAACACATGACCATCGTTGTCGGTTCGTTTGCATGGAATTTAGTAAATACATCCACCAAGCTTTTCCGATTGGCTCAGCTTCTCTAATTGAGCGTTAAGATCACCCACCATATCTGAAGGTTTTGTTTTATGCAGCAGGATTGACGACTTGTTATAGAACTTACTACTAGCATCATCCGAATAGCAGTGGGTGGGTGCGTAGGTGGAAATTATAAGCGTCGGTTGGTGTTTCTCTGCGTTTACAGATCCATTCAGTCGAATAACATATAGACGGTTGTTTACTGGTATCAGCCAAGTGAACTTTCTGCTCTATAACTCAATGATAAGTCTACAGCAGGGAGTTCATGATAGCCAGCAGCTGAGTTTCCAGAAACTCGTAAGGTGAACTTTGAAGATCTAGCACAACGGTCGTGTGAGGGAAATTTAATTACCACGCTTGAGACCTGCATACATGCCTCAGAGACACAGCGTACATCCATGGTTAGCGATTCCATAATTCTGGCGAGTGATGCTTGCTGTCCGATCTGACACACAGTTCGGACGTTGAAAGCTCCTACATGAAATCGATGGTGGGGTCTTAGAAGATTAGGGATAAGGTTCGATGGCTTTGATAGTTCGCAATGGTCGTACAATGAGGGGGTCAGGGAAGATGAAAAAGACTCAATATTAGCATCAGAAGGTGAAGGTAAAAGAGGAAACATAGTTGAGGAGGATAGGTCACGTTTGCTAGGGTCTTGTGTACCACTGGAAGCGCGCGGGTGGATGACACTTCCCAGTCACCCACACTGTGGAAGGCTATTTCTTCTTAAGGTACCTGAAGAAAAAAGAATTTGGGTGACCACATAACCAATGGGACATACGCTTGAGGCTTCTCATACACAGCCTTTTGTTGGATATTGTTTTGAGGCTTGATTGCTCTAACGCCGGATAGGAGAAACCTATACCATACGCTCAAAAGATCATGCATCAGGTGCAGCGTTTTATTTTGGGGGCTGACCTTTTCTAGCCCGCTCCCAGCGTTTCTTGTTGGAAAGGCAGCATCAACGTGGCACTGTTGGTCATCAAAGGAAAACAATTAACCGCGATCACAACCCATCCAGCTAGTAACGGTACGACTTCGCCCTCAGACAACCATCAGAGTGTACACTACAACTGTAATTTCTTTTCGTCCTACAACTATCCAACAGACCTTTCTAACGTAGTTGGACATCGAGGGAACAAGCGTTCCATCAGCATAGCTCGTTGGGCCACTGTGATACGCAAAACTGACCACCACGTGAGGCTACCAGATATCGGTCGGGTGGACAAGTTTTACTAACAAATGAGTGACCCCATCACCACGTGTGCTCGGTAGGTGGTATCGCAGTGAGACTTAAATGTACAGGTAGGGCGTCTTGGCACAGAAGAGGGTTGTTAAGGTTGTTGATGGAAGTAAGTCACTCGATGGTGAAATTGAGAACAGTTTGTGCGGCGTTGTGAAGATCACAGCTTATTTCCAGTCAGCACCGACTTCCCAATACAGCCATTGCCGTCGCTCTACCAGGTCTCCCTCCTTCTGTCACTCAGACTTCGGCTCAATTAGATCATACTGCAACTATCTACCGATGGCTTGGGCGCAAATTCAAGACCTTACTACCTTCCGAAGCATCAGTCTCAACTCTGACCATGCTTTATTGTATGTTGAGTTCATCTTGAATTTCGGTGATCACTGAAATCATCGTCCTAAATGTGTCAACGTGAACAAACTGGATGCGCTTAGTTCTGTAGCCAAATACAAAACTGAGCTAGATTCGAGGCTAGATATCGATCCTCTAGAAAGTATAGTTGGGCATTCGCCACTTCACTCGAAAGACGTAATGGATATGGATAGTCGAACGGCTTGTGGCTTTGAAGGAAGTCCCACCACTAAACACTGAGTCTTCACGACCTCACTGTGTCTTCAATATTGGTCACTGACATACTTTTCAAGCCAAACAAAACGCTCATGAAACGATAGGCATGCAGCAGCTAGAGTTTATTACAGGTTCTGAGTGAATCGATCAAATGTTGGGTCATTGTGATATACAAGACTGACCAATATATCAAGGTAGCACGTATCGATCAGGTTAAGGCGAACAATGAAATTACCTGATGAAGACAGCACATCGATAAAAGATAATGCTTACTTTATGTCGATCGTATGCGGTCTGATGGCGCATCCCCATTAGGCAAAATTCACAGACGTATATAGTAGGAAGACAACTCAAATCGGCTGGATAGTTGCTCTGACACCATGGTTGTAAATCCCATGTTCCGAATATCACGGAACGTATGCGCTGTTCCGTAGCGAATTCGATATTCTCTGCGAATGCTTAAACTGAATATCTTAAAGTAGGAATTCAAAATTACCATTAATAGGTGCAGTTCCTGAATTTGAAGCTAATCGAGCACACAACAGTAAGTGTTCTCTAGCATCCATCTCCTAAAAGACAGAACGCAGATTCAAACGAGAGACAACTAATTAAAATTAATACCAATACTTGAAAGAATATTTTCAAAAGAAATGATGCAAAATCCCAGGGGAATAAATGGAAACCTAGAGCTACATACGATGTCGTATCACTTCAAGTTATCACTATGAAATAGCAAATACAGATGAAACCAACAAACACACCTCAAAACGGGAGTAATAAGGATGATGTCAGCAACCAACTGGCAACACAGTTATCGGTACATAACATTACTCATTCAAAATGTTGACACTCTCAAGTCTGCTGAAAAAACAACATCAAAAATCGTCGCCAACTCTGAGAAAGTCATCAAAAAGACACAGCAGATCTCAACAGTTTATCATCAACTAATGGATCCATGCAAACACATCCGTGATGACTCTTAACACAAAGAGGAACGGAAGCAACTCGAAATTAAACTGACAAAATGTCTACGCAATGACCGCGAACAGTGGTGGGCAGATAAGGCTAATGGGGTGGAAAAGGCAACGACGATAGGTAAAAGTAGACAGTTATTTAGAACTACTGGAGAAACTGAACCGAAAAAGTAACTGACTGGTGAAAATATAGCGGAAAGGGATGGGTCTGCAGTTCGCCCGCAGAAAAGACCACTTGAGTGACGGGTGGAGAACCTCGAGGAACAGTTCAAATGGCCACTAGTCATTATCCTGTTGCCCACTATTCGGTCAGATTCTGAATGGGTCACCAACATAGGACCCCCAACACTGGAAAAGCTGTAGGTAACCTGAAACGAAGAAAGAGCACCAAAACCAGACGGACTACTTTTAGAGGTATTTAAGAACAATGGTAAAGAATTAGTGGCCAAATTAACAGGACTGTTAACTGGCATATAAGATTCAGATATGATCTCCTCTGACTGGTCTCAACCACTTATTGTCACGGTCTTCGAGAAAGGCGAGAAGTCTTACGGTGATAACCACAGGAGAATCACCCTGACAAACAGTGTCCAAAATTCTAGGTTACATAATTATCACACTTATAAGTGGAACTCAGGAACACCAAACTCAAGGAAACCAGGAAGGTTTCAAACCTGACCGTGGGTGTAGCGACCAAATACTCACACCCCGTCAAGTTCTCTAAAACACTCACATTTACCGACACTCAACAATAGCCGTATTTCTCGACTTGAAGGTAGCGTTCGACTCCGTCGAACAAGAGGCCTTATAGCAGTATCTCTCGACGAAAAGAGGTATTAAATAAGTTCATCATTCTACTGAAGGCATGGTACGCGAACACCCGTAGATGTCACATCCTTTGGTGAATTGTCAATTGAGCTGTGTACGTCGAGTGGCGTCAGTCGAAAATGCCTAATCTTCCCACTTCTATTTAATTTTGTCACAGACGTTCTTATGCAGGTCCCCCTCTCGTCGTCTGACTTTACAGGGATTGATCTTGCCACATGAGATTTGCTTTCGCCAAATTATGCCAACTGTAGCGTCGCCACGATATCCGATTCCTTATTAAGGGTCGAGTGTACTATGCTGCAGTTCGCCATCTTCTACCGTGCGACTTTGAAGTATACATATGTTATATATATATATATATATATATATATATATATATATATATATATATATATATTCGTCGGTTAATGTGATATAAGTTTTAAAATAACGATGGTGATAATAATACAAATCCAAATGTAAAAAGTAATAAGAATTATTAAAAAATTATGACGTTTACAGCGTTGAGTAAGGTAGTCGTCATACTGATGATAATGACGATAAGAACCAAGAAAGCATGATGAAAATGTAGACACTCAGAAAATCAAAGCGGGGCAAAAGCTTAGAAAAGTGAAAGTTACGTAGTACTGAAGGACGAAGTCAGTGGATAAAAAAGGGGTAGAGGAAATTTCAATGATAAAGTTGTTTATTAAGAATCCTCTGGCCAAAAGAGGGATAAGGGATGTACGAACTTCTTCTGGGTACAAAGAATGGGATTGGTAGCTCGGATTCTCACAGCTTCTTCCATGTATAAAAGACGAGTTCGAATGCTTTTCAAAATATTAGATGGTATGTGGTGAATAATCTTAAAAGCATTGTTCTTATCTACCAAATGACCACTATCAACGAGATGCGACAGATCAGAACTTTGATGGATTTCGTCTGTCCCTTTCCCAACAGAATCAAGATAGATGCTCAGCAACGTGTTTGTTAAGTTGTCTAGTAGTACACCTTATATAGCCTTCTTAGGAGTAGCTAAACTTGTAAGTACACATGGCAAAACTAGCTAACTTATCTTTCGTATAAGCAATAACCATTGGTCGACTGGAAAATTAAAATTCTCCCTACCACTTCCTTATTCTTCACTTCTTTCACATACTATATAGACTTTATCTACTTACTTCGCCCTTCAGTATTACGTAACTTTCACTTTTCTAAGCTTCTACCCCGCTTTGATTAGCGGGTTGTCAACATTTTCATGCTGCTCCCTTGGTTCTTGTAATCATTATCATTTTTATTATGTGTATTATTATCATCATCGTTATTTTAAAACCACATTAACCGACGAATATACATGACTGCTTTAATTTATATTCATATTAAAGACTGAAAAGGATATTGTTTTGATTTCAGTTGCTGTTATACGCGAAATTCTTCGACTCAGTCAGCTTTCTTCAATATTATTTAATTTCGTCAGAGTACGTCTGGAACTAATACTTTCTACATGTAGTATTTGGAGTACTAATCTGTTATTCCGTGATGTTCGGATCTGAATTCATAAATAACATGGCAATGTTTCATAGAAACCCTAACAATACGCAAATGATTGTGCGATCATGCAGTCAAATATGAAACACATTTCGCATCTGCCAAATTAGAGGTTACATTTCATGTACTAGTTTACACCAACACGTCAAGGGAAATGCAAAAATTCAATCGGGGAATGCAAGTCATGTAGACTAAAACTTAACCAGGTTTTCCTAGAGCACTGAATATACAATTCGTTGGTGCTTCGCTTTCTATCACGCAACGTTAAGACGGTCTAGGTGATATGAACAGGCTAAAACTATTGAACAACTGGTAGTCTTGATAGGTCACTTGTTGATACTCTGTATAGAGTTCTACGGACCATTTGAAAGTGCAGCTGTTGCACATTTGACAAGGCATTGGACTTTCATCCAATATCAGTATTCAAACTCTGCCTATTGAAGACAGAGTCTACTGCGCTGCAGTTCACTGTTCTAATTTATCACTCTAAAACATGGCCATTAAACGTAAAGGACATGAGAAAGCTTGAGGTATTCCACTCTTAGTGTCTTTGCAGCTTGCGCTGTGTCGAGGTGGAACCGCCATGTCAGTAACGCAGAAGCTGGGTGCAGACTTTCAGGTAACGGAGGTATATCAGTTGATAAAGTTGCAAGCGTTCATCAACGGGTGCCTAGAACGTATACAGCTGTAATTCTGTGCAAATATTTCAGCCACATTGTCCGAAGTTTCCAACCACTGACTTATGACGTCTCTAAGATTCTAGGAGGCCTAGATTCATGCACACAACTGTCACCTTCTGTAACTGATACGATATCTTTATCCTGGAAGAGTCCAGTCTCTTTCACTCTACCCCATATTTACGTAACACCCTATGGATGCGCATATGTTGCTGCCATCTCAATCAATGTAGGCGCATAACGGCACCCACTAATACAACTGTTGCAGGTCACACGGTATATTTGTCTGACCCGAAGGCAAATCAGTACCTTTAGGAAAGAATATTTCCAGCCTAGTTAGTTAGCTTTCTAGATAAACATTCAAAAACCTACATGCAAATACTTTTTTATATCGTCTCAAATCTGCGTATTTGACAGTATCTGCTTTCTAAACTAATTACCCAACTTTCTCAAATAAAAATTCATTTTAAATTTCACTCATTCTTACCTATTAACATTGAGGTATTACTAGACGTCAGACCTTAGATTAAATCCTACGAAAGTCTTTAACTACCTCTCTACAACATAACAACTTAAGGAATTCGGGTGCACAGTTAACACAAATGAAGCTATTAATGATGGGTAACAGCTACCAGTGGAATTCATGACGCACGTTTCATCCTATTTGGAACTCGTCAGCTGGATGTACCTGCCTCCCAGTGAGCGGTGTTGTTCCCACCAGGACTCGAACTGGCGACCGAGCGTTATCCAACAACACAAATGAACCTAGCCTGTAAATTAAATGTTATTAAAAAGAAATGGCTGACAAAATACTCAGCGTAAACAGCGGCAAATGTCTTAAAAATGCCACCTTAATTGAAAACAAATATTCATACATTATTTTTTTAAAACCAACAACAGTATAAAGAAGAAGCAATTAAAATAAGATACGAATAAAATGGAGCTACTAAGGCATCCAAGAGCTTACATGGGTTGAAACTAATCTCTGTTGTGCACGGCGAAATTGATATAATTCAACTTGACTACCTAGATCATCAAGCAAGGGCTCCCGCTGTGTCGTTTTAAACTGATGGGAGCGATCAATTCTGTGTTTGACTTTAGAAGGTGATGGGGATGATTCGGAACTTCGCTTTAGAGATTCTGAAACAACAAGACCCTCCTCCCGAGCACGCATTTCTGCCCATTTCGTAAAGTTCATATTGTGATACAACGGACATCCAGATAAAGTTATATGCCCTGTATCTCTACCATTAATATGACCGATTCCAGAGCATCCTACTAATGGACAATTAAGTGGCGCGTTTGAACTGTTCAGCGGAAGATTCTGACTGAATTCTGTGGGAAATAAACTTAGGACATGTGCGATTACTTTTGTGTTTCTGCTTCAGAGCCCAAGAGACTATAGGTCGCCTGGATTTAAGCCTCTTAGAGCGTGAGAAAGGTAGCGATCTCTTCATTTGAACAGAACGTAGTCTCTTCCTTTTCCAACCTACAATAAATATTCACATAACCATATCAATAATGCATACGAATCATTTGGAGAGAAAATCTTGAAACCAAAAAATGAAATCATTAATCAGATATAGGCAGTAATTTGCCTAATGATATTCCTCCTTGTATTCAATCTTCAACATAAGCCAAAATAAACTCATCAACCACCTTGATATAAAAATGTCTAAATGGATCCTATAAAGGTCACACCGGCACATATTTAAGGCGAAAATCAGCCATTACACACACATTCATACAATAAGATGATGAAATGTACTACGTGAAGCTTACAGCACTAACAGACAAGCAAATTTTCTTACATAAGGATCTAGACATGAACACCAGCATAAACTAGTTCAAATAAGCACGAAACGTCCGGTGTCAAAATACTGACATGTATAACACTAACAATGGTTGCTATAGCGAATCTCAGATAAAGTTCGCCCACTGAATACCTATCTGTTGAGAATAAATCCAAATTAATAGAATTTCAGCCTTGTGGAAGAGTCAGTCAGTTAGTATCAACATGTGAATTGGCACTGTTGTGTAGCTATACAAGTTTCTACACTTCATATCACCGCATCAGATGAGAATGCACTAAGATGAAAGTTAAGGTGAGTTAACAAAAGAGAGCGAGAAGGGATGAGAGGATGGTGAAATTCAGCATGACGATGAGGATGAAGATAATGTGTGGATACATCTGCACCACTGAGACCAATCCTCAGCTATATCACCTGAAGTATCCAAACAGTGCTTTCCATGGTCATGCGGATACCAACAAGGAAGTCTATATTCTATACAAGACTCAGATCACCAGTCAAAGACTTCATGGACTGATGCCATGTTTACAACAATGACATCTGAACACTTGGCGTTTAGTAAGAGGCCAAATAGCCCTCGGTAAAGTTGACCTTTCATTTCATTAGAACTACAGTCAGTGGGTACGTAAGCAGATATTACAAACAAGAGCCATCAAGTTTCCCTACTCTTTTTAGTCGTCACAGTACCATTTACTTGAACGCCGCACAGGCCACTGCCTATGGGGATTCAGTCAAGTAGTGCATTTTCTACGTTAAGACTTTATGCCGACGGATGGCTAATACCCTGAAGTGGTGGGTGGGCCTGCATATCATAATAATCCAAAGAACTACGCTAGCTGGAACGGTTGTTTCTTGACGTCCTAACTTGTCAGAAAGGTCTTTTGGGTAGTGATAACACAAAAGCGGTTACCGTTATGGTGTGACTTGCTACACCATTACAGGTGACCGGGAGCGAAGTCGTACCATACTGATGATAACACCTTCTCTATGGGATAAAGTTGGAGTTAGGAATATCCGGTGTTAAAATAACACAGTCCTCTCTGCTCTACAGTCTTCCGGTACCGGCAGCATCAGTTTTCTCGTCCAGCGTTAGTATAACCAATCAAATCTCAATCCAACAATCTTGGTAAGCTCGTATGAGACAGATATCAAACAGATGTCCCATGGGCTCTGCTATCACGTAAAACTGATTTATTTTCCCTTTAGGAGCTTTTCAGAAGCAACTGTCATAGTGTGGACAGCCGGGAAATACCGACCACCACACGTAGGCTTCCAGCAGTATATGAAAGTGAAATAACTATAGCCAAGCTTACTTACCTTCATCTCCTTAAATGCATTAACTTCTTGACACTACTGCTGAGCCCTTTACATTGTGGTCAATCGAGTACAACATTTATCATTATCTTCACTATCACATTGGATAAATATCCAATTTCAACTCATTATAAAAATAAGATTCAACATAATCCCAGCGTGTTTAGAAAATCAAAACAAGATTTTTCTTAGTGCTCTGCTGTATGAGCCACAACTTTTTCAGCAGAACACTAGAATTTTTTATTCACATCAAAATATATAGTCAAACAGTATATCAAATATCAACCTCGCCTAGTTTACTAGCCTGTCCTGAGTCCCGATAAAGAGGGAAGATTGAGCGTGGGGCTAGCAATCTTACCCCGGAAACCAATCCAATCGCTAAACAAACCTTGAAGCACAGACGAAATATAAAAAAACATATTCCTCTCTGGAATCGGGGAGATGAAGTGACGCCAGTTAGTGAAAGCCTTCGGAAACCAATTGGTCGATGTGTCTTCCCTCGATGAAAGCAAAAGTTAGCGTGGGACACGGAATGTCCGCACCATGTATGAACCTAGCAAGGCTGCCTAGATTGCATAAGAGATGAGAAGGTATAGCACAGAAGTGATAGGGATCTGCAAAAGCAGATGGAATGGAAGTGGACTCTCCCAACTATCAACTACAGAATCAATAATCTACTCCGATATTGTTACCCAGACGACAATCACGAGGACAATGAGTTTTCGAGTGGCTATTATGATGTCCCCAACAGCATCGAAAGCTCTTTCCCATGCAGTGAAAACCAATTTCCTACAGGATCACGATAGCAGGACTCAATCAAAAGAAAAGAAAGTTACAACCATACAATGCTATGCTACGCACCAAAAAATAATGCAGATCAAGAGAAGGAGGAACTCTACAGACAATTGTAATCAGTAATGAACAAGACTCCAGTTGGTGACATCAAAACTCTAACAGGGGACATGAATGCCAGACTCATATGTGATCACACATCTACTCCGTTGAAATCGGAATACACAGACAATTCCCTCACACACATAAACTCACTAGTAGGCACAACCAAATTCACTCACAAGGTAGAAAATCAACAAGGAGAATCATCTACCTACGTTGGATTCCAGGATAAAACGAAGGACAGGTGACGGTTTGGATACCACCATCTACAGGTAACCAACACATTCCAGTAGGTATCTAGACTCTAGGTTATCTCATCCAATGTCTGTTTAAGTTGGTTTAGTCAAATGTCTAAGTGATTGAGCTAAAAAGCTGACTAGTTAGAGGAAGGACTTAAACAAGGAATCGAAACACGTAGGAAAAGCATTATTAATTAATAATTATCCTCTACGGTCTATTAAGAAATTCGCAGGAAAACCTAAGAAACAAAATAATAACAGTAACATGAATGCGAATAATAGCAACAATAAGAGTAGAAATAAGTTCACAGTCTACATTGTATTATCCTACAAGGAAGGTACCTCAGAAACTTTACGTAGAATCCTCAACATAGCTATTATGGCAGAATGTAACCCCCCCCCCCCACTAGGTTATCATTTGTGATGAAGATAGATTGCATAAATCAAAAACTAGATAAAATTTCATCCATGAAAAAATACTAGATGTTGTATAGAAAAACGGTGACTTGGAGTAATGATTACTTCGTTAACAGTATTATCTCACAAAGATGTTTACTTGTATTTTTAATTATTAGTAATTGTAACAGGGTCAATCTAACTCTTACCCAGAAACCCATACACCCCTAGATCAATCTCTCTCGTAAAAGACGTTTTCATTTCAACTTTTAAAAGCTTTCTTGAAAAATAGCCAGTATTTAAAAAATCCATGACATCAAGATACAAACGGTTTACAATTTGGAGGTTTCTGAGGAATTATTAACTTTAAATTGGTATCCATCATCTATCTCTGGTGGCGTCGTGGTTCCGCACTGCTACCAGTCCAAAACTAGGATGTAACAGCTGTTCAATGCACCCAAGTCTTCAATGGTTGTCTAATCCTTATCAATAAGTGATGAATACGGCCTTGATATAAGAGAGACAATTAAATACCCAATTACTTTTTGCATTATTGCGAAGGTATGCTGTCTCATTCAACATTGTAATTACAGCCTATAACAAAATTTAGCTAAAAATCACTGCATTAAACCGAAACAAACAGACCGGTCTTATTTTTGCTTTAAAATCGTGTATATTATTACTAAAACAAGCAGATGACCTTATTCAAACGGAAATTTCATGTCAGTTATTCTCCTTGTAAGCTTTTCCTGCCATATATATATATATATATATATATATATATATATATATATATAACCATTTATGAAGGTTGTGGGCTTCAGCACTCTTATTCAATTCAAAGCATACGATGAGCTATTCTCCGTATTGTGTGGTCCACTGATCATTTTCACCTCCCCCATCAATATATAATCTCATAGCATATATGCTCACGCAGATCATTCTGGTCTTATGAAATGACGAAAATTTTTCCTCAACCAGTATTCCTTAGTTGAGAATACGCAAACAAAATGAATACATTCAATGAAAACTAACAAACTCATAGAAGAGGCAAAGCAGAGGAGAAGAGACTTTCTTCAGGTGAAAGTAGAGAAGACAGAGGTGATGAAGATACCCAACTTACAACAACAAAACCACCAATCACCCTGAATGGTAGAAGTCTAAATCAATTTGAGCCTTTCATCTACCTAGTCAGCATCGTTTCAACTACAGGCGGCACAGATGAGAATATCAAAACCATCATCGAAAAGGCAGCAAGATAGGCCTTCATTTATCTGTAATCAGTGTGGAGATCTACTGCAATCAGCACAAAGTGTGAACAAGATCCGGATTCCCAACAATAATATCAGTCAAGTAAGTCAGTGCCTCTATATGCTTCAGAAAAGCACTTCCAACAAACTACAGACATTCATCAACAGCTGCCGCCTACGCTCACTCGATGTTGACACTGAAGATCAGATGGTCAGAATAGTAAGAATAAGCAACAAGGAACTCTGGCTGGTTGGGTGGCTGGCAACGAACCAACGAAGCAAGAACCCATCACCCAACAAACATGTAGAAGGAAGTGGAGATGGGTTGGATTGGGCATACACTGAGAAGACCGATTGGGGACATCAGGCTTCAAGTCCGGCCAGTTTTTCGAGTGGAAGCCAAATGGGAAACGACGAGTTGGGGGAGCGTGGCGAGGGTGAGATAGAGAAGATGGTGTGAGGAAGAAATGACGGGTTTTTGGCAGTCGTGGAGCGAGGTTAAAAATACTGCATAGAAGAGAGTGCAATTGAGATGTGCTACCGAATCCCCATG